CCCAAAATATTCCCTTTCCCCCACAGATTAGCTCAAGTTTTCCCTTCTCTGAGTTCCCAGACTTTCCCTCAGCGAGGCTTATTTTTCCTCTTTAAATTACCCTAAAAAAACCCCAAAAAGCAGGTTTTGTTTCACCTAAATTAACTCACCTTTTTTACACCTCAAAAACATCCCAATTTACCTCAGCCTTTCCCTCTGGGATGTTCATCCCGACCCCTCCACACCTTCCACATGGAATAACACAAATCCACGCCCTCAGGGGGGGTGAAATCCTCACAGAAAACGAAGATTTCCAAGGAAAACTCCACCTTTCCCACATTAATTCCCACCTTCAACCCATCCTGGAATAAAAAGGGAAGGAAAGCTTCCCAAAACTCACCTGTTCACCGTGTCGTTGCTGTTCCTGACCCAAGTGGGGCCAGATTTTCGTGGTTTCCGACATTTTAGGTCCCTCAGGAAAGAAACTTCCCCATTTTGGGCGGGAAGGAGCTTATCCAGCTGCTCCAAGGAGTCGGGATCCGGAGGGACGCGGCTGAGGGGAGCCAAAACCATGTTCTCCCTGATCTCAAAGGGAGCAAACTTCCCACAGGAGCCAGCGAGGATCTGGAATGGCAAGGGAGGGATGGCAAGGGTTGGAAGTGCAGCTCCCACCTGGGGGACGTGGGGGTTAAGTGGGGATTTAGGTTAAGCCCTTCCTAAGATTCCAGTTCCAAGGCAATCGAGGTCTTTATGGGGAATTGGGAGTCTCTCCAGGGAGAAGACACAGCTGAGGTTTTTATTAAACCGACTCCAAACTCCTCCTGGAGTCTCTGCTCTGGCCTTTTTCCTAAAATCCTTTACATTCTAAAATGAGGAAATTAAGGAACATTAACTCCAAACTTTTCCTGGAGTCTCTGCTCTGGCCTTTTCCTTAAAATCCTTTGCACTTTTGAAAGAGGAAATTAAAGTTAACTCCAAACTTTTCCTGCAGTCTCTGCTCTGGTCTTATTCCTAAAATCCTTTACACTTTGAAATGAGAAAATTAAGGAAAGTTAACCCCAAACTTTTCCTGAAATCTCTGCTCTGGCCTTTTCCTTAAAATCCTTTAATTTCCTCTTTTGAAAGTGAACTCCAAACTCCTCCTGGAGTCTCTGCTCTGGCCTTATTCCTAAAATCCTTTACACTCTGAAATGAGGAAGTTAAGGAAAATTAACTCCAAACTTTTCCTGGAGTCTCTGCTCTGGCCTTTTTCCTAAAATCCTTTACACTCTGAAACAAGGAAATTAAAGTTAACCCCAAACTTCTCCTGCAGTCTCTCCTCTGGCCTTATTCCTAAAATCCTTTACATTCTAAAATGAGGAAATTAAGGAAAATTAACTCCAAACTCTTCCTGCAGTCTCTGCTCTGGCCTTTTCCTTAAAATCCTTTGTACTTTCAAACCAGGAAATTAATGAAAGTTAACTCCAAACTCCTCCTGGAGTTTCTGCTCTGGCCTTTTCCTTAAAATCCTTTACACTTGGAAACAAGGAAATGAAGGGAAATGAATGTTTTGTGCACCTGAGAAGCTCTGAGATGAGAAGGAAATCGGGGTGTTTGTCAGAAACAACTAAAGAGAGACCAAACACCCCCCCAGGAACAGCAAATCCCTCACCTTGGGGGCTTGTGGAGTCTTTGGTTTCTGGAAGAACCTCGTGATTTCTGCTTTCTGGGCATTAATCCGCTGAAATCAGAACCAAAAATGCAAATTAGAGACATCAAGAGAGGAC